CTGGGATCACTCATAGTTTGATGTTGTTCCGCCTAGTACACCTACTGCAACTCTCTATCAAGATGCAGCTGCAGTTGTACTCTTTGTTTATGGAAATGGGTTTGCTTCTGTTCAAGGGAGATCAGTACCCCTCGAATAGCAACAGGGAATCCTGAGTGGAGACCCTAGAGCAGGGGACCCAAACTAGTGCCTGCGGGCCAGATGTGGCCCTTTGCTTGCTTTTATCTGGCCCATGGGTCTCTTTTCCTTCCACTGAAACATAAAGCACTGACACCAGTGATGGGGCGCTGTTCCTCCCACTGACGCAAGCAACAGGGCGCAGTTCCTCCCACTGACGCCAGCGACGGGGGGCGCTGTTTCTCCTACTGACACCAGCAACGGGTTGCTGTTTCTCCCACTGACGCCAGCGACAAGCCGCTGTTCCTCCCACTGATGTCAGCAACAGGCCGCTGTTCCTCCCTCTGACGCCAGGGCATTTTCTTCTACCACTGGTCACAATCTGGCCCCCCTAAAGTCTGAAGTGCAGTAAATTGGCCCGTTGTTTCAAACGTTTGGAGACCCCTGCCCTAGAGGAACGGGTTAACAGCTCCGGTCTGATTTCAGCAAAATCTACTTTCAGGCTCCTTGCAAACTAGCATTTTTTTTAAGCTCCTAGAAGCTATTATCAGCATATTTTATTTCTGCTCCTAGAAGCTAAATAGTGATATCCTATGTGTCCATGCACACTACTTTAGGCTATTAGCATTTTTTGAGCTTCAGCGCCTAGGAGCAAAAAAAAATGTTGTTTTTTTTTTTTGGATTTTTTTGAGTGTTTTTCCAGAAGAAAAACAGCTAAACAATGCTAAATGCTACTTAAATGCTCCTAACAGCTGTTTTTTCTACTTTCCTTTACATTATTAAAATAAAACAAAAACAAACGCTAACGCTCCTACTAGCGTTTTATGAGATTAAAAGAAACGCTATTGTACATGGAGCCTTAGAGTGGATGATGTTTGGACTACAATTGAGACTAGTTCTTCCCTGGTGGATAGGTAGTGCAGAATGTGGGGCTAGCTGGTTTGGTGGTGGTGTGCAGGGAGAAGAAGAGATCCAGCACTGTTCCCCGGGTGCCCCATCCACCTACACAGACAGTTTCCTGTATTTGGCCATGAAATCTGATCCGCTCTAATCCGGGTACAGTGTGGGTCAGCACACAGTGCCCCCCCCCCCTCCTCCTTGGGGCCACTGTGCAGTGAACACCTTGCACCCGTGGATGATACACCTCTGGTCCTATGCGTGTTTGGTGGTGCATTTTTGAGCCGCATAGACTTGAATGGAAACAGCAGTGAAAACTCATAAAATGCAATGTGATTTCAGCACGAGGTACACCTATTTCTAATATTACAAAATTAGCCAAAACAGAAATCGCATATGTAAAATTGCATCAAATCGCAACGCAACTGCTCCTAAAATCGCACTTTAAACACATAGAAATCACACCGCATAAGTGTGAGCATGGGCTGAAAGTAAAAGAAAATCCCCAAATTTTGGGTTGTCCCCAAAAGAGTAATAAAGGGGAAATCTTCCAATGAAGATATTAGTTCTGATGACCTGGGAGGGCTCAAAGGATTCCATTAATTTTCAGGCCTTTTCCCTCACTTCCTGTTTTGCTATCGAACAGGAAGTAAAGGGAAATCTCCCCAGGTAAATGGCAAAAAAATCCCCTGACAACAGGTATAATCATTCTTTATCCAAAATGAAAGAAAAAAGTTTTGCCCTTAGTTTCGCTTTAAAGTGGTTGTAAACCTCAGACATGAAATATGAACAAAGCATATCCCTCTATAGTGTGTACTTGTCTCAATCTGGACCACTGAGTATCATTTCTGTCAGCTGCCTCATTCCTCTACTATCAGCATGAGTCACTTCTGACACGTTTTCCTGACACCAAGAGAATTATGGTGACAGGTGAGGCAGCTCCAGCAGATTGACAGCCTCAGCTCTGTTCCTGTTTTCAGAGGGCATGTCAATTCCCTCCAATTAGCTCTCAGAGCTCCTGTTACTATAACTTCAACTGTCCACCCCCTTTTTTCTGACAGCTCAGACAAGCTTCAAAAATGTTGAACTTTGAAGGGATGTAGAGAAGAGAGGAATGCAAATAAATAGGTACAACTTATGGAGGATTTGTTTCATCTCCGTGTATCGCCTGAGGCCAGTCACATCACTGTGTATATATTAGGCTCAGTTCACATCAGGGAGAAATTCTGCCCGCGATCCCAAAACGCTGTGCAAAAATGACAAATTACGACGCGTGTGGTCAGGTGCCATTCATTTTCAATTACACCTAAATCTTTGTGATTCCTTTAGTTGTTCTCTTTTTTCTTTAGGCAAGTTATCTGATTCCTTCCTAAATGGTTGCTAGTCTGTAAGTACATGAGTATAAAGGGGATAGGGAGACTGGATTGCAATTTCTCCTGGGGCAGGGAGCAGTGTCAGTGGATTCATTCTATAGGCTCATGCACTTGGGCACCAAGGGCCATACACCAACAGAACTGAGCCCGGGTTCACACTGATGCGGTGCAGAATTTGCAGCGTTTTCTGTGCGAATTCTGCACCGCAACAGAATCGCAACCCATTCATGCGAACCGCTGCCAGTGTGTATGTTAAGTTAAAAGCACCCCAAAAGCGGTCCGCAAAACACGGTGCGATGTGGGGAATCGATCGCATAGGTGTGAATACCCATGCTATCCAATTCTAGTGCGGGCCAAAAAAGGGTCCTGCACTTTTTTGGTGTGGTGTGATTAGAGCCATATATAATGTATGGCTCCAATCGCACCGCATACAAATCGCATGTGATTTACGCAGGAATGTGGTGCAGTTCCTATGCGAATCACATGCGATATACTGCAGCGCATATATGTGAACCCAGGCTCAGAGTATTTTTGGATCCAGCAGTCAGAGATGCATACAGCAGTCTGTACAAATCAATGCCAGGCTGACGGTAGCTGCAGCTGTATGCATATCCACGGTTTTATATGGGATGAATGATGATGATGATGAGTGGTCCTGGACTCAAACTGCCTCCATTCACAGATGACCAGCAAAAATCAGGCTGACAAACATTGTGGCTATGCATACAACCACGCTGTACACAAATACTGTACCTGTGACTCCCGAGAGCAGAAATATGCTGAATTTTGTCAGTGTACAGCCCTAGAAAGCAAAAAATATGGAACCATAGAATGAAAGTGTTGTAAAACCGAACAATGATTGTCTCCTATGTGCTCTCTTTCTTTCGAAGTTTTAAATATGTCATAAAAAGAAAATTATTATATCTGTTGTCCTTTCCAGAAATTCAGTTCTTTCCTTGGACTACTAACCCTCCATATTGTGTAGTTGATTACCTGTGCTAGGGTCCCATCATGGATAATAAAGCCATAACCTCCAAGGAGCAGGGCCCTCCTATCCCTCTTGTATTTAACTGTATTGTCTCCTGTTATATTGTACAGCGCTGAGCAAACTGTTGGCGCTATATAAATCCTGTATAATAATAATAATAAAGCCCAATGTACCTGACCCCTATGTCCCTATGGTGAAGTCTGCAAGGGGTGTGACTGCAGACTGGAGCTCCACTTTCAACATGAAACATGTGACCTCCACTCCCCCTTTTTTTTTAAAAAAATTAACTTTAATGCAAAAACTAACCAATGGCTACAGACTGGAGCTCCACATGACAGGAAACACTTCAACTTTAATAAAACAACCAATAAACACAACTCAAGGAAGTGGAGGTCACGTGTTTCCTGCCGAGTGGAGCTCCAGTCTGTAGCTATTGGTTGTTTGTTACATAAGAGTTTATTAGAAAAAAAAGTGGACTGGAGGTCACATGTTTCCTGTCAAAAGTGGAGCTCCAGTCTACAGGCAGATCCCTCTCGTATTGACGCCCATACAGAATGGATCCTATTCCGCTGCCTTGTATCTGTTGTTATACAACGTGGTGGGCGGGACCTGTCAGTGTACTGTCCAATGATGAGGAAGGAAACTCTGAGTTGCCAGACACCAATCAGAATGTCTCAGTGGCCTGAGAGCTAATAGACGAGGAGTGTGTGCAGTGGGGTGACTTCCTGTACCGGTGAGTGTCTGGGTCCCACGTGCAGGGGGGTGGCTGCCACCTCATCCCTTTATAACCGAACACACATTAATGACAGGTTCTTGGCTGATTTAATGCCAATAAAGAACTAAGTGGGTTTAATGACCATCTTAATCAGCCACAGAACCTGGGTAATTAATATGTGTTTGGGTTTAAAGGGATGAAGTGACAACCCTATGCGCATGGGTCCTGCTGCAGGGGGGGGTGTCAGCGCTTGGGTCCCGCTGGAGGAGTGGCTGCTTGTGGGTCCCGCGTGCAGGGGTGGTGTCAGCGCGTGGGTCCCGCGTGCAGGGGGAGTGTCAGCGTGTGGGTCCCGCGTGCAGGGGATGTGTGTGTCTCTGCCCGTGGCTCCTGCATGCGAGGGGTGTCCCCCCGCGTTCAGGGGGGTGTATGTGTCTCCCGCGTAGAGGGGATGTGTATTTCCACGCGTGTGACTCCCGCGTGCGGGGGATGTGTGTGTCTGTCTGCGCGTGGCTTCCTGCGTGTGGGAGAGAGGGGTGTCTCCGCGGGGGGGGATTAGAGGTGGTGTGTGTCACCGCGCGTGGATCCTGCGTGCGGTGGGGTGTGTGGCTCCCATGTGCGGGGAGGTGTCCCCCCGCACGTGACTCCCACGGGGGGGGGTGTCCGTGTGTGGCGGGTAGTGGTGGTGTGTGTCCCCGTGTGCAGGGGGGATGTTTCCAAGCGGTGCTCCCACGTGCAGAGGGAGGGTGTCCGCGCGTGGCTCGTGCGGGGGGGGGGGGGTGTTTGGGGGAAAGCTGTCCGCGCGTGGCTCCCGCCTGCGGGGGGGGGGGGGGGGTAGCTGTCCGCGCGTGGGTCCCACGTGGGTGGTGGCTGCACCTGTCTCCAGAAAAGAGTGTCTGTTGTGCTGAAATGTCTTTCTATACATAGGACGCAGTGTATGCACAGTTCATGGCCAGTCTAAAGAGGGATTCGAGGCTGACCTCCTGGCAGAGCACACTGTGCGGAGGGGTAGCTGGAATACTAAGCCGCACTGCCACTGCCCCCCTGGATGTGGTGAAGATTCTCACACAAGTAGGCACTTTCCACTCCAAGCAAGGCTTTCTCAATACCTTCCATCTGTTATACAAGGCAGAGGGACTCCGAGCGTTCTGGAAGGGTAACCTGACTGCATGTGTGCGCCTGTTCCCATACAGTGCGGTGCAACTGTCAGCCTATCACAAGTAAGTGTAGCATGATGAGCTCCATGTGGGTGGGTTTCCCTGTAGGCATGCCTGCCAGCCTCCATGCAAGAATGGTGTACCTCATCTAGCCAACACTACTTCGATAATACCAACCTTTTTAGCATTACTTGTAGCAATTTTTTTATCATTTGGGAATTTCCTTTGTTTTCCTGATGCATGTTGACATTAACAGTGCTGAGATTTTTGTTTACCAAGCATACATCTAATAGTGGAATTACATGCTTCAATAAATGATTGATTTTCCCGACAGGAATAAATTATCAATATACCACACACAAGTGGGTTTTACCAACAATTGGAAGATCTGATCGTAAGCTGTTGATCACATCTTTGTTTTTGCCACTCAATTTTGTAGTCTTCTTGATCACAATCAAATTCATGAACTACACATCTCAGTGATGCCAATCAGTGCAAAACCATCCAGGAATGTCCGCTCTAGCCAATTAGCTCAGCTTGATTAGGTCCAATATAAACTGAGTCTAAACCAGAAGATATGTCTTTTCGATTGTTTGTTGATTTGATCGCTTTGGTTGAATCAAACGTTTATTGGATAATAAAATCAAAGTTTGTATAGTCACCGTTAGAATCTGGCTGTATGATCTCCTTTAGGTCTACAGACCACCATGTAGTGTAAGGCCTTGCGTAATAGGATATCATTTGATATGGATTGTTGTTACATAATTCTATGAGATTGTAGAATCAGATTGTAAGGTGTATGGTCAGATTTGGAGTATTTTTACTTCTCATTCTGTAGTATTATTTTAAAGTGGTTCTGCAGCAGTATAGGCCTGAATGACCCCGCTAAGGAAATTGTTATGCTGCCAGATCCATGTGTCCCTCTTTTTTCGTTTGATGTGTAGCCGTCTATAAATACATGAGAATGGTTATAGAGTATTGGACATTCCATAAAACTCGTATTGTATTTGTTATTTGTAAATAGCAAGGAAAAGTAATAATCAACACAGGATCAGTGGGTTGAGTTGATCATTTTCTTCTTCTTCATAGTGTACTTGGGGCTCAGTCCTTTGCCTTCATTCTTAAGGCCTCATGCACACAGGGCATTAAAAAACTCTCCTAGAAGCCTTCCTCCTAGCAGCAGTGATTTTCCACAAAACGTCTGGCGCTTGTAAACGTATATAACGCTTTTACAGGCGTTTAGGCGTATTTACAAGTGTCAAGCTCTTGGGGCGTTAATTCATTTCCTTGGCCAGAATAATAACTTTTTCTAGACATTGAAATGAATTAACGCTCAACATGCCTAATGTTAACACGTGTTTAGCCGCGTCAATTGTTTTTCTGCCAAAACGCTGCTGCTCCTGGATGCACCGGCCCTGGGGTTTTTTGCTGCTGGTAAACGCTACTGCTACTAAAAGCTAGTGGGGTGCACGCTATAAGGAAATCAGGCGAACAATCATAAGATTTTCTGTGAAGTTGCGTTTCATGATGTAACCAACAATGGTATTAAAGCAGAGTTCCAGTCAGTTTTGTGTTTATTAAAAGTCAGTTTTGTGTTTATTAAAAGTCAACAGCTACAAAACCTGTAGTGCTTACTTTTACTAAATGCACACTTACCTGTCCCAGGGTCCAGCGATGTGCTCACCCGCATCGTCCCTCCTCTACCTCTTCTCTCCCAGGTGCTGGCATCACAACTGTGGGCACCAAGCTGTGACAGCTTGCAGCTTCACAGCCAGGAGCCCACTGCGCATGCGCGAGTCGCACTGCACATTCTCATTGGTCCGGCAGTCTTCTAGGACCTGTGAAGGTTCCCAGGAGACTGCAGGAGGAAAGATTGGGCCAAACTTGCAGCTCACTTTGCCGTGGCGAACTGAGCTGGAAGTGGGAGCGGGTACCTGTCAAAAACAGGTATCCACTCCCCCTCAAAAGGTGCCAAATATGGCAGTGGAGGGAAGGAGGAGGCAAATAAGTGGAGCTTCCACTTTTGAGTAGAACTCCACTTTAACTTGAATAAAAATCCTCAAACAACAAAGACAAATGTTCTTTCCTATAGAAAGATAAAAGACAAGCAAGCGCTGCAGAGTGAAAAAGCAGCTGAAACACCAAGGTCACCAAATAAACCTCTAAATAAATGATGATATAAAAATGGGTGCAGCACTAAAAAATCAATATGCAAAATTCTGAATATAGATAACTAATATACATAAAGTGCTGATCATAATCAATAAAGTGACATGTATTATGACATCTGTAAACACAGTAATAAAGTGCACCAAATGAAAACCACAGGCGGTGGTTAAAGTGATAAGTGAATGTCCAAAATTATTGAACGTGAGGATCATAGGATCTCCAAGAAGTGGTCAAACAATATCCGGAGTGGTAGATGGGGTGACCGGTATGAAGTAAATTGCGCACTTACCAGAAGCATGGCTCATAAGCTCTACAGCTCCCATGTGAATGAGGCCTTATAAGATTTAACAATGTACTCATGGACCACACCTGTTATTCAGGTGGTTCCCTTTAGTATGTGAGCTCTCACAAACAGAGATCCTCCTAACTCTTGTCTTGAATTTAATCTGTACTGACTCCTTTATACTGCAAACACAGCACAGACCACTGGTGCTAAATGAATTCTGCATAATAATAATATGGTTAGATGTTCATACTTAGGCCTTGTTAACATAGGCAGTGACATGCATTCAATTCTTTGCATATATATTGTATGTCTTTCTAGTACATTTTGTAAATGCATATAATGATTTTAAATGGTATAATGCATACTGTGAGGTCTATTTATACAAATGAGCGGACAAATGTCACAGATGTCTGCAGGCTGGATTCATTTCCCAATGTTTTGTGTGATAGATTTCTGTGATAGTCAGCTCCATCTAGTGGCCAAAATGCAGTATGTCAGAAAACTATACTACACCTTGGCCACTAGATGTTGCTGACAATCATGGGAAGTAACCTATTACAGAAAATATGGGGAAAGTATGTGAGTGACATTTGTCCAATGATTGTTTTATAAATAGACCCCTAAATGTTTATTTGCATTCAAGTCAATTCAATTTTGTATGTAAAAAACAAACCAAATAAACAAAAACAAATAGAAACCTGTGCCTCCAGGGGTAGAATAAACATTCTGAATGAGTGTAAACATATAATGAATATACACTTTGCTTCTCAGGTCGATTTCTCCTACAATTGGAAAAAAAACAAACATGGGACGTCTGCGTGAATGAGGCTTGAGGGCACCAGTTGGGAAAGGCATGGGAGGCTTGAGCAGTTTAAAACCAATGTCCCTATACATCCTGGAGTTGCAGTGGTTACACCAGGGCCATGGCTGTAGCTGCAGCCATGACCCTGGTGTGTGTGTATATGTGTGTGTGTATATATATATATATATATATATATATATATATATATATATATACATACATACATACACACTGTGCACGTTATAGTGAGAGCCATAATTTTAGTACCGGACCTCATGTATAACTCTAAGCTGGTAACCTGGAAAGGCTTTGAAATCATCACCTATGGAGATTTTTGAGTAACATAGTTTGTGGTCATTCCACGAGCTTGGTGAAATATAAAAGATGATGTTATGCCATGTAAATAGATGCCTGACATGTGATGCTTTTAAAATTGCTCAAACCATTGGGTATTATTGTTTTTTTGGTGTGTTTTTTTGCATTAAAATTCATTAAAGTTGAATTTGAAAAACCACTGTGCAAATACCATGTGACATAAAAAAATTGTAACACCAACCATTTTATTCTCCACTTAGAAAAATATATTGTTTGGGTGTTCTAAGTAATTTTCTAGCAAATAAAGCTGATATTTACAATTATGTTTATTACATTTGTGTCAGAATAGGCTGGGGAACAAGTGTTTTTTTTTTTTTTTAACTAGTTCCCGCCAAACCTGTAGACAGCCAGGTGGGAGCTCTCTCGTTCTGCGTGGATGTCATATGATGTCCTCCCCAGAACGTGCCTTACACGGGCCCCATGGACTGTGCTACGGCATGATCTGTCATCTGCTGTTTCAACTGGACAGAACTGATGATAGATCACTGTACCGGTCTTCTGCTGGTAGCCTGTGATCTCTGTGACCGATCACATGACAGTTGCACGCAGTGGATGGCTTTCCTTCATGCCATCCATTGTATACTATTGTGTTGCTAGCTGTGATTGGTCACAGTGACCACATGGTACAGACAGAGCCAATCACAGCCCACCTGTACCATATGATTAGCTGTGGCCAATCGCAGCTAATTACAACAAAACACACTAAATGAATTGATTTAATTCAGTAGAAATGTTTGGTTATAACAATGTGTGAAATTCACTGTTTTAAGCAATCATATAAAAAAAAATTAAAAATCCTGATCACCTCCCCAGAGTACTACAATGTTACTATGCTACCTCTGTATTGCTCTGGTCACAGTGTGTAAAAAAAAAAAAAATGTATTAAAAGAAAAAAAAAAAAATTCAAAAACTGAAACATTTTTTTTTTTTTTACATACTGTCACCAGTCAGTGTCCCTGAGCACCACCACACCAGTTATATGATGAAGCTGTATTACACTGGTGACAGTGTGTAAAAAGAAAACAAAATGTGAAAAACATTTTTTTTTTTTTTTAATTTCTCATTTACCAAAAAATTGTGACAAAATACTACAACTTCAACAAACTCGCCATGCCTCTTACTAAATACCTTGGACTGCCTACTTTACAAAAAGGAGTAATTTGGGTGGTAGCTGTACTGTGCTGGTGATTTTGAGCCCCAAGAAATGAGATAGATCAGCAGGATTTATCGTTTATTTTTTGTTTTTTGTTTTTTTTTAAGTCAGATATACTCTATATCCTGTAGTTCATGGACTCTATAACTTTCTTACAGATCAATAATTATACATTTATTTTTTTTTTTAACCAAAGAAATGTAGCAGAATGCATTTTGGCCTAAATTTTACCAAGAAAGATTACTTATTTGCACAATTTTATAATAGAAATGAAGAAAATTTTTTTTTAAATTTCTGGTCTTTTTTCATCTATTTAGCAAAAAATAAATACCACAAAAAGAAAGCTTTATTTGTGTGAATAAAATGATAAAAATGTAATTTGGGTACAGTGTTGCATGACCGCTCATTCAAAGTGTGGAGACAATGAAAGCTGAAAATCGGCTTGGGCAGGAAGGGGGTGTTAGTGTCCGGTATTGAACTGGTTAAAGGAGATGTAAACCATATGAATAAAGCTGAGCTCATGCTTTTTCCACAGCAGTGCATTGCATTAATTGATGTTTTTTGTGCATTAAATTGCATTGCAGCAAGGCAGTCCATTCAAATAATGGGCTGGCAATGTACCAAATTGTCAAAGATAATGGATATGAATCATTTTTGCCTTCACAACGCCCCACTGCACCCAGTACTGTGTAAAAGAGAACTGCTGTAGCCATCCTTAGCAATGTTGTCTCAACCCCTGTCACTGTCAGTTTTGCTGGACAGCCTGATCTACATATGGAGAAAAATATACTGTAAATAAAGCGCTCATTAGACTGAATACTTCCATACAGGCCACAGAATGAGGATGAATCATGTGCCTGGGACTAGTTAGGTTTATTGAAGCAACTGCCCAATGATATCAATGAAGATGGACCCTGGTGCAGAACCTAGGCTTTTTATATTAGCTAAAATGATGTGTGAGGATTCATAGTTACATAGTTAGTCTGGCTGAAAAAAGACAAATGTCCATCCAGTTCAACCATAAAAAAAAAAAAGTTATAATCCTATACCCATAGTTGATCCAGAGGAAGGCAAAAAAAAAAAACCCAGCAAAGCTTGATCCAGTTTTGCCAGTTCATCCATGCCTTTGCCATACAGTTTACAGTTTGCTTGTATCCATGTATAAGCATCATAGATTTACACACTCATGGAAGTGACACATCTTGCAAATAGCTTTAGGGCCCAGCAGTGGGGCTTTTCCTCATGGAGGGGGTGTAATGATGATCTTAACTAGTTTTTTCCCCCTATATATGGGGCATGGGAAGGTTTTATCTCCTTAGCTTTGAAAAAGGGAGTTCAACTCCCAAAACACGTCAGCTATTCCCACCAGGCAGTTTCACCACAGGAGCCCTGTCATGTTGCATTGATACATTTGGCTCTATGTTCGCTTTTCGCATTAGGTTTGTTAGTATCCATTTGTTACGTTTTTAAATAAATTAATTTGTCACCTCGGTAATGCATGAGGAGAGTGCGCCCTTTTGTGTTTTGTTAGTATCAAGATTCCCCAGTCTTTAGAGGGCTGCACTTCATCAAGTGACATACCGTTTTTTATGTGGAGCATGAAGATTTGAGCGCACGTGATTGTTTTATTTGGATTAACCTATAAACTGCAACTCAGTTGAACAAAAAACTGAAATCTTTTAGGTGGAGGGAAGTAAAAATAAAAAACTAAAATAATATGGTTGCATAAGTGTGCACACCCTTAAACTAATACTTTTTGTTAAAGCACCTTTTGATTTTATTACAGCACTCAGTCTTTTTGGGTATTATTAGTATTTATTATAATTATACAGGATTTATATAGCACCAACAGCTTGCTCAGCGCTTTACAATATAACAGGAGACAATACAGCAACAATACAGTTCAATACAAGAGGGATAGGAGGGCCTGATCCTAGGAGCTTACAATCTAAGAGATGAGCCATCTCCTGTGCACAGCCCTCTTCAGTTCACCCCTCAGATTTTCGGATTCAGGTCTCGGCTCTGGCTGGGCCATTCCAAAATTGTAATCTTCTTCTGGTGAAGCCATTCCTTTGTTGATTTGGATGTATGCTTTGGGTCGTTGTCATGCTGAAAGATGAAGTTCCTTTTCATGTTCAGCTTTCTAGCAGAAGCCTGAAAGTTTTGTGCCAATATTGACTGGTATTTGGAACTGTTCATAATTCCCTCTACCTTGACTAAGGTCCCAGTTCCAGCTGAAGAAAAACAGCCCCAAAGCATGATGCTGCCACCACCATGCTTCACTGTGGGTATGGTGTTTTTTGGAGATGTGCAGTGTTGTTTTTATGCCAAGCATATCTTTTGGAATTATGGTCAAAAAGTTCAAGAAAAGGCTTCCATCTTGCCACTCTACCCCATAGCCCAGACATATGAAGAATACGGGAGATTGTTGTCACATGCACCACACTTGCCATATATTCCTGCAGCTCCTTTAATGTTGCTGTAGGCCTCTTGGCAGCCTCCCAGACCAGTTTTCTTCTCGTCTTTTTCAGCAATTTTGGAGGCATTCCAGTTCTTGGTTATTGTCACTGTTGCGCTCTATTTTCTCTTGATGATGACTGTCTTCACTGTGTTCTATGGTATATCTAATGCCTTGGAAATTCTTTTGTACCCTTCTTCTGACTGATACCTATTAACAATGAGATCCCTCTGATGCTTTGGAAGCTCTCTGCGGCTTTTGCTGTAGGATGCGACTAAGGAAATGTAAGGAAAGACTTACTAGAACAGCTGAACTTTATTTGGGGTTAATCAGAGGCACTTGGCAGGTGTCTACTGACTCCTATTTACCATGATTTTGAATGTGGTTGCTTAATTCTGAACACAGCTACATCCCCAGTTATAAGAGGCTGTGCACACTTATACAACCACATTATTTTAGTTTATGTTTACTACCTCCCCCCCCCCCCCCCCCCCCCCCCCCCCCCCCCCCCCCCCCTAAAGATTTTAGGGTTTTTTTTTTTTTTTTTGCAATTGAGTTGTACAGTTTATAGATCACATTAAAGGTGGGATAAGTTCTGAAATGATTTGTCTTTGTTGCTTTTTTTACATCACAGAAACCTGACATTTTAACAGGGATGTGCAGACTTTTTATATCCAGTGTGTGTTTGTGTATGTGTGTGTGTATATGCATATATATTTATACGGGATTTTGCACAAAGCGTCCGCCCTGTAGCAGTAAAATTGCAACAGGGAGGTCAACAAGTGGCTATAAAGCCTCAATAACACTGTACATTGGGGGATAGTAAACTGCGCATGTGGAAATAATTGTGCACCCGCCCTGAAATTTGAAAGTTTGAGGGATATTTTTATTACCCTAATACAGGGAATGCATTAAGGTAAAAAAAAAAACAACCACTGTAAAGTCTGCCAAAATGTTTGGCTGGAGTTGGGCTCTGTGTGACTAAGATATTATTTTCAGATACCTGACATCATACCAACTTCCCTAGCTGTATACTTGTTCCAGGTAAGTGACTCAGGAAGTATTGATGCCATGAATCGGCAATCTCGCCTGGATATTTTGCTGTTTTTTATTTAATAGACTGAAATTTCTGTTTGAATGAACTATTTTGTATATGAATGCTACAAATATCACCTGTTTGACATCTGTACTGATTTTTTTTTTTCATCATAGGCTATCAGTGATGTTTATGGATGATTTAGGACAGATCTCACCAAGTAAAGCCATTCTAGCTGGAAGTGTGGCAGGAATGTTGGCAGCTATAATCATCTATCCTACTGATGTCATCAAGACCCGACTTATTGTGCAGAACAGCATGGAACCCACATACAGAGGGATCATTCATGCACTATGCACTGTGTACTATCAGGAAGGATTTCGATCATTATATCGGGGAGTTTCACTTTCAATTCTTGGTATGTCTTTTTTGGTAATATTATAGTGCAATTTATTCCACACACAAGACGGTTAAATTAGAACTAATGGCAAAAAGTTTTTGCCGTTTCATTTTGGATAGTGTAATGGAGAATTATAATCCATGCCTGTTGCTTTTTGTTTTTTTTTTTTTTGCTATCTCTATGTCATTAGGAAGATTTCCCCTCCCTTTCATAGCCAAAACAGGAAGTGAGAGGAAATCACTCCAAACTGAAAGAATCTTTTGTTGTCAACAGAACTAGTGTCCACATTGGAGGAATTCCTCTCTGTTCCTGTTCTGGTGACAACCCAAAATTTGGAATTTTTCTTTTTGGGTGAATCTCCAACCAGGGCACAGACAGCAATAAAAGCCTGACAGGTATTTGAATCCCTCTCAACTCTACCAAAAACTAAAAAAAAAAGGTTTAACATTAATTTATACTTTAATGCCTGCATGACATTTTAGCCCAGAATATATCTTAGCCCAGAACATTCTCTCCTTTGTGCTATAAAGCTATGAACTTGTCTGTGCGGACTAATCTTTAGTATTTCTTTCTGAAACTGGGCCACTTCTTGTGACTGGATTTGGCAACTGGTCACAGTCCACAGTGAAATGAAAAGGTATTGCATTTCTAAATTTTTTTTTTTTGAATAGCCTAATGGAGATTTTCTTCCTGCAGCCGCTGAGAGGGAGAGGTGGAGAAGCCGGCTTTCAGTGGATGCCGAAAAATTGCTGCTCCCGCTGCCCCTTCTGTCCAAGTGTAAAACAGAATGTGACAGGGTGGGGTCTCCATTGCAACTGGAGCATGGGGGGGGGGTCTGGGGCAAAAAACACAAATATGAGCAAGCCCTTACTGTCCTGATCCCCCCTATAAGGCAGTTTTCACACACTGATATGCTGCATATAAACACAGTACAGTGCACCTTGTCTTTCCAAAGACTTATACCTTGTGGGTGTAGTACACTTTCTGAAAGAGCACCAAACCTGAAAGATATATTAGAAGTCTTTGGCTCAGTGCAGCTAACCCACAGGAAAGCCACAGATGCACTGCACTGTGCCCGCAGATCAATGTGAAAGCAGCCTAATACTTGTTTACCCCTTTTTTATAGGTGCTAATATGCCCATTGCAAAACCGCAGTGTTGTTTAATACACTGACCTTCTTTTCCTCTTCCATCTTCTGCTGGCAAACGCTCATCGTCTCCAGGCTGCTAGAAAGTATTACTCCGCCTGGGACAGGAGCTGGCGCTACAGAGGAAGCATCAGCTTATGTGGCTTCTGCTCCCTACGCAGGTCTGCTTCCTTAGATTCCAGCGGGTAGATCAATGCACTCTGATGCTTTAGGATAGCAGGTTGGCAAGTCCAGATCACGATCAACGGGTTGCCGACCCTTTACATGCACTTCCTGTGTTTTGGGGTTGAGGGCTCCAAGGACCACGGGTTGAGCACCCCTGCTCTAAGCTAATGAAACTGAGAATAAGAAGCAGTTTAAAACAGTTGCCGACCGCAGATAGCCGAATGATGATCAGTGCCCGATGATCGGTGCCCATCAGTGTCACCCACCTGTGCCCATCAGTGTCACCCACCTGTGCCCATCAGTGCCACCCACCTGTGTGCCCATCAGTGCCAACCCTGTGCCCATCAGTGCCACCCACCAGTGCCCATCAGTGCCGCCCACCAGTGCTGCCAGTCAGTGCCCAGCAGTGCCGCCAGTCAGTGCTGACTATCAGTACCCATCATCAGTGCCGCCTATCAGTTCCACCTATCTGTGCCACCTCATTAGTGCTGCCTATCAGTGCTGCCTATCAGTGCAGCCTCATCACGCACATCAGTAAAGGAGAAAAATTACTGTTTGCAAAATTTTATAATAGAAACAAAGAAACCTTTTTTTTTTCACATTTTTTGCTCTTTTTTTTGTTTATAGCGCAAAAAATAAAACTCTCAGCGGCAAGTAAATCCCACCAAAAGAAAGCTCTATTTGTGAGAAAAAAAATGATAAAAATTTCATATGGGTACAATGTTGCATGACCACACACAATTGTCATTCAAAGTGCGACAGTGCTGAAAGCTGAAAATTGGCCTGGTAAGGAAGGGGGTATAAGTGCCCAGTAGGCAAGTGGTTAAATCACCAATGGGCCAATTCATAAAGCATTGTTACGATTTTACTATTGCTTAGAAAAAAATAGGAAACAGCACATTTATAACATACAGCGTTGTACTAAACAAATGTGCCTTCTGCTTTGTTTCCTTCTGCTTTCTAAAGCAAACAAAAACTGATTCAAATTATTGAATGGAATAAAGCCCAGAAGGAGGAGAAGCTTGGTCATGGCCTCTTCTTCTCCTATCATGGACTGTTTTCTGTACCATTATGCAAAGAGAACTCTATGAAACATGGCGTGCTCCACACCATGATTTGTGTTTAAGGAATGATTTCTAAAACGCAGATCGCAGTGTGAAGTAAATATTGCATTGTTTGTCAGAAGGTGGATAAGGGTAAAATATTCTAAATTTTGCTGCAGCTGCTGAGCAGGTAGAGGAATGGATTGTAAATCCAGGCAGACATGGAAAAGATATTTGGGAGGCATAATATTTTTGGCATGGGTATGGGTCATAAAAAAAAACTGCAGGAGTCTATAGGTGCATTGGAAGCTGGCAATCGAACTTTGCTAGTAAATGCTACCCCCCTCCACATCAAAAGCTCAAATGGCTAGTTCACCTTCATAAAAAAAAAAATAATACCCTATGGAGTCAATAAACACCATTCTATACCCTAAACTAATTCGTTTTTGTAGTATACATTTATGCTCTTTCTATAACTGTAGGTCATTTCTGCAAGGAATAAAGCCTTCCCCAAATACTCCTGATAGTCTCCAAAGCTCACCTTGCCTACTTTCTAAGATGGACGAGCTGCTAGGATGAGTGCCCGCCAGCAATACAGGGGCAAACATTTTCATTCTCCTGAGACCCGCGCACTGTGCGATTTCCTGTTGCCATGGATGAGCTCAGAGGCTGAGACAGGAGAGAGAGCATGCTACACATGTGCGGGGCTAAGGATAAGGAACGAAGTTTGATAAGTTTAGGGCAGGGGTCTCCAAACTTTCAAAATAAAGGGCCTGTTTACTGGCCATCAAACTTTAGGGGGCCTGGAATGTGGCCAGTGGGAGTAGAAAATATCCTGGCATTGGTGTATGTTTAATTTTGGTTTGGTGGTCAGTGGGAGTAAAAAAAAATGACCCTATCATTGATGTCAGTGGGAGGTATAGTGCCCCATTGTTGGTGTCCGTGGGAGAAATAGTGGCCCATAATTGGTGTCAGTGGAAAAATTAGTTCCCCATCTCTAGTGTCAGTGGAAGGAATAGTGTCCCTTCATTGGGGTCAGTGGCAGGAATAATGCCTCGCATCAGTGGAAGGAATAGTACCCCAAGGGCCATATAAATGCAAGCAAAGAGCCACATTTAGCCCGCGGGCCACAGTTTAGAGACCCCTGGTTTAGGGTTATGGAATTGTGTTCATGGGCTGCATTAGATATATTTTTATAAAGGTGAACTACCCCTTTAAAGTCGATCATTTAGAAATGTTAATTGTGCTTTAGCTGTGCCCTGGAAATATGTCTTTTGTCTTCAGTTTCAAATGAAAATAGCAGATCACTTCCTAGTACGTGAGGATGTCTAGGTATTCCTGTGCCTGCAACTCATAGCTGTGTATCTGCAGTGTGAGATGTAAGGCACTGCTGGCTATGACTGCTAGTCTCTGGAGATCTGCAATGAGATTTTATGAACTCACTATTGTGCAAATTACTGTTCTCATTGTTGGAGGCTTTGACATGAGAAAGCAAAGCCCTGCCTCCACGCAGAGACACCCTACAGAACAAGGCAAGGAAAGTCAGCAGTGGGGAAAAAATCAGCTGCAGGGAGACCTTAGATAATATTGATTAGTAGTCCATTGACCTCTGCCTCCTTTTTTTGGGGAAAAACTTCAGGAATAAATTTCCTGTTCAAGGGAAGGACACACCAATGCAAAGGAGGTGGGATGCTCTGAGGATTTGAAACCAACCTTTTCAGGAGCATACCCCAGGTCCTCTAGGTCTGGTGTAGCCTGAAGAGACTATCCAGACAAAAGAATCCAGAAACCAGCAGTATATAAAAGATGAAGCAGGCTTCGAATGTATAGAAAGTACTTTAGTGTTACAGAGAGAGGGACTTGCAAATCTGGAAATCACTATGCTCCCAGTCTGTGTCTGTGCCTTCCCTTTGCACTGCATGGGAATCTCCCATGCCATCATGGGGGTACAGTTGTTTTCCTGGTTCAGGTATGACATGTTGAGAACTTAAAATGACCGCACAAAAAAATGTGTCTACACACTCGTATACATGCTGCTGAATGATTATCCTTTGGCTACACAGACACAGTCACCCCAGACGAAGATTGGTCTCTTCTAAGCCTGGCCTTGTGGTAACACTGTTTTTATCTTCAGCAATCCTCTGTAGTTGGAGCAACTATCATTGTGAAAATGGAACTCTATTACTTATTGACTTAAAGATAATACCCGTTATGTTTCCAGGAGCAGTTCCATTTTCTGCTGGTTTATTCTTTATGGATGTGAGTCTGGACAGAATCTGGGAGGAGTCTGGGGCCCGGTTAACACCTCTACAGAACTTTGTAAATGGCTGCTTGGCTGCCGCTGTAGCCCAGACATTATCTTTCCCTTTTGAAACTGTTAAGAAGAAAATGCAGGTACAGCTTTTGAATATTGTTCTTTTTTACCATTGCCTTTTTCTGTAAATGGTTTATATGAATCTTCATACTGTATGCTCAAATGCTGAACTGCTTGCTGATTGGCCTCACACATGTAGAGGGGGTTGGACAAAAAAATGGAAACACGACATGATTTGCAGGTTTCAAAAGTGATGACATGTTTCTCTTTGAAAGTGGAAGTGATGTAACATTCTTTTGCTTCCGCTGTGTGATGAGACACGTAGCTAATAGGTAGGAAGCCTCACTTTAGTCATTCACTGCGTGCGTTGCTAGTAATACGGAGTCATGTCAGAGCTTACTGAGCCTCACAGAGGGCAAATTTCTGGGACCCGCTTAGCTGGTGCCTCTGTGACTGAAGTTGCCAATTTATTTGATATGTCGCAAGGTACAATATCAAAGGTTATGAGGGCATATGTAGTTTCTGGGAAAATGTCGTCTGATAAGCATAGGCACGGTCGACATGGTCCACTGACTGAAAGAGACAAAAGGAAATTGCTCAGGATTGTGACCTGAAATAAGAAGACAACTGCTGCAAAAGTGACTGCAGTCCTGTGAAAACTGAGATTGAGCTCTGCAGTCACTTTTGCAGAAGTTTTCTTATTCCGGGTCACAATCCTGAGCAATTTCCTTTTTGTTTCTTTCAGTCAGTTGACCATGTCGACTGCCTAGGCTTATCAGATGGCGTTTTCCCAGAAACTGCATATGCCGTCATAACCTTTTGATATTGTACCTTGCGACATATCAAATAAATTGGTAACTTCAGTCACAGAGGCACCAGCTAAGCGGGCACCAACATATTGCCCTCTTTGAAGCTCAGACACGAGCAGAGGGTAGCGAATTGCGAAAGTGAGGCTTCCTACCTATTAGCTAGGTGTCTCATCACACAGTGAAAGCAAAAGAATGTTTCTTCACTTCCACTTTCAACGGGAAACTTGTCTTCGCTTTCAAACCTGCAAATCATGTAGTGTTTCCATTTTTTTTTGTTTAACTCCTGTATAACTAGTGCTGGTTAAACGTGGCAGGAATGAAAAAGTATTAAAGGATCTGTACTATCAACATTGTTTATGGTTAAAGCAGGGAGGTATTCTACCCACTGAGACTAATCCTAAAACTGCTTATTGGGTGCACTGACCATTTACATATATATTCGGGAAATTTCATACAGCGTCAGGCTTTTACAAAATTCTATAATGTTGGAGAAGCTGAAAGCCCCACTCCAGCTACATTTTATTTAGCTAAGGATAATTCTTCTGTCAGATTTTCTTTTTCCAGCTGTCTCCCTATTGGGAACAGGAAATACATTTTTAGAAGTATAAAGATATGGGGGAGGGGGAGAGAGAGAGAGATCCTTCTGTGCCTTCCTGTCTTGGTGACAATGTTACCCCCCATTTCTTGCCCTGATCACAGGGAGCGTATGTCTCAACAGAAAGATAACAGCAATAAAAAACCAAAATTGTAACTTTCCAGATTCTTTACAACATAGAAAAATGTTTGAAACTAGGCATCCTCAAGCAACATAGCTGAGTAGGAATAGCTGAGAACTCTAATGGCTCCCAAGCCATGGTTGGGGCTCCCAGCCCAGTTGGTAGCCTACAGGTATATCAACACTTGTCATTGTCAGTACTGTTTTAAGCCTACATTTATACCTGTCTTTATAGCAAAAGCATAATGGAGTAACACTTTTCTCTTGCACTTGTGTTTAAAGGAAGACTTCAATGAGCGAAATACAGAACCGTTCATTACCGATAGCTTCTTTTGAAAATTCTATTGCCTGGCTGTTACCTTGTCTCTCCTGGCTTCAATTCTTTGAGTCACTGACCAGGAACAAGTATGTCAGTAAGAATATCTGACTTTTCTGCACTGCACACTTCAGTAACAGTCAGACAACCAGCATTTTCAGAAGCAGGGGAGCAATGGCACGTTTCTCTTCTCCAGTTTCTCAGGCAATATAACCTCACCACTCAGTTGGCATCTTGAAAACATTTAGGCCAGGTTCACACCTGTGCGTTTTTTTTTTTTTTTTTATGCATTTTGCATTTGCAAGAACGCAATGAATGCCTTTTATCATGATTTTCACATCTATGCTTTTTTTGCAGGCGCATTTTTTGGAAAGGGTCAGGAACTTCTTTTCCCGCAGCAGTTTGCATTTTTAGTCAATAGACTTCAATGGAACCGCATATAAAATGCAAGTGCTGCATTTTGCATATGTTTTTGATGCGTTTTTAATCTGCCCAGCAACAACTTGGCCCAAAAAAATAATTGCAAAAAGCATCCAAAAACACGTGCAAAAACGCACCGCAAAAAACACTGCAGAAATGGATCAAACGCAAAATGCATAGGTGTGAACTAGCCTTATGGTAACATGTAAAGACATACTAGCCAGTTACGTGGCTTCTGCATAATTTGGTCCTAGTGTGTGAATGTGAGTTAGGAACCTTAATGTCGCTTACATAGGAAGAGAAGAGGAGACACCGCTCTCACCACCTGTGCAGTCCCGTGGGTAGAGAATGGCCTCAGCTGTCATGTTGGCCACGCTTTCTGATGCATTTCACCCCGACCACCGGGGGCTTGATTATAGATGACTCCTCTGTGATCAAGCCCCAGTAGGTGGGGTGAAACACGTCAGGCGGCGTGGCCGGCATGATGGCTGAGGCCACCCTTTACCCACAGGACTGCACAGGTGGTGAGGGCGGTGTCTCCTGTTCTCTTCCAATGTAAGTGACTGGACTGACACTGCTCCCCTGTATTTGCTGTTGAGGTGACTTCTCCGACACTTGTCACAACGTCTCATGCTTCAGTACTTGGACTGGGTAATGTGTTAGGGACGTAAGGATGCCCCATTGTTTGATGGAAATTAAAATTATCAACCTACAGAGGACTGAATTCAAAGACACCCCGAAAAAGGGAAAAAATTATGCAGCAGGCTAGTCCATTTTGCTGAAATTTCAATGCAGCAACTCAAAATGGTACTCAGTAGTTTGTATGGCCCCACGTGCTTGTTTGCATGCTTGGGCATGCTCCTACTGAGATGACGGATTGTGTCCTGGGGTATTTCCTCCCAGATCTGGACAAGGGCATCACTGAGCTGGACCAGGGCATCACTCAGCAACATGAGGCCAGGCATTGGGAATGGGAATGTTTGACCATTCTTCCAGAAGCGCATTTGTGAGGTCAGGCACTGATGTTGGATGAGAAGGCCTGGCTCGCAGTCTGCGCTCTAATTCATCCCAAAGGTGTTCTATCGGGTTGAGGTGCAGGCCAGTCGAGTTCCTCTACCTCACACTTGCTCATCCATGTCTTTATGGACCTTGCTTTGTGCAATGGTGGCAGTCATGTTGGAACAGGAAGGGGTCATCCCCAAATTGTTCCCACAAAGTTGGGAGCATGAAATTGTCCAAAATGTCTTGATATGCTGATGCCTTAAGAGTTCCCTTCACTGGAACTAAGGGGCCAAGCCCAACCCCTGAAAAACAACCACACACTATAATCCCCCATCCCCCAAACTTTACACTTGGCACAATCCAGTCAGGGAAGTACCGTTCTCCTGGCAACCGCCAAACCCAGACACGTCCAAAGGATTGCCAGACAGAGAAGCGTGATTGGTCACTCCAGAGAACACATCTCCACTGCTCTAGATCCAGTGGTGATGTGCTTTATACAACTGCATCCAATGCTTTGCATTGCACTTGTTGATGTAAGGCTTGGATGCAGCTGCTCAGCCATAGAAATCCATTCCATGAAGCTCTCCATGCACTGTTGCTGTGCTAATCTGAAGGCCACACGAAGTTTGGAGGTCTTTAGCTATTCATTCTGCAGACAGTTGGCGACTTCTGCTCTTTAGCATGCGCTGACCCCGCTCTGTCATTTTACGTGGCTGATCACTTGGTGGCTGAGTTGCTGTTGTTCCCAGTCGCTTCCACTTTGTTATAATACCACTAACCGTTGACTGTGGAATGTTTAGTAGCAAGGAAATGTCACGGATGGACTTATTGCACAGGTAGACACCTATCACGGTACCACGCTTGAATTCCTGGAGCTCCTGAGAGCGACCCATTCTTTCACAAATGTTTGTAGAAGCAGTCTGCATGCCTAGGTGCTTGATTTATACACTTGTGGCCATGGAGGGGATTGGAACATCTGAATCCAATGATTTGGAGGGTTGGCCCAATACTTTTGGCAATATAGTGTATCTCTCAGTAAATTGTTGGTGCCATATAAATACTGTAAAAGAAAATAAAAATAATACAAAAAAAAAAAAGTTTTGTGGGTTTTTTTAAATTAATATTTTAAAAAAACATGTATAGCTTTAGAGACAAACACAAAGTATTAAAGTGAGTTGTAAACCCTTACATATACCTACTGAAGTGTCCGTCATCAGGTGATACAGAGATAAACAAATCCTCCTACATATCTATTCAAAGTGCTGAATTTATAACGCTTGCTTTGGTGTTCAGAAAAAGGAGGAGGAGATCTGAAGTTACACACTACAGAGCTCAGTGAGGAGTGTTCTGAGAGCTGATTGGAGGGAAGAGACACACTCCACAGATGAACAGAGCTGAGGCTGTCAATCTGCTGGAGGTGCCTCCGCTATCACCATTTTTTTCTTGGTGTCAGGAAAACTTGTCATGCTGACTTGTCAACGTGACTCATGCTGATAGCAGAGGAACAAAGCAGGGGACAGAAATCACACTTAGTGCTCTTATCTGAGACAAGTACACATGATAGAGTGTTATGATTAGTTAATATTTCATGCCTGAGCTTTACAATCACTTTAAGGAAATATTATAGACCAGCAGAAGATACAGTAGATGTTGAAGCAGTGACAGATCACTTTGTAGAGTAATGCATTCTAGGTACAGGACACCAGATGTCACTGTACTGAAAGTGATAGTCCTTGGCTCAATAATTTGACTACTGTATAAAGCTCAGGTGACCTGGAGGTGACTTGAGGACTTGCTGTATTATGGGCTTTGCATTTG